CAGGGCCTTATTCTGAAGTGTTGGGGAAAAGTTTTGCATCTTGGGTGGAATTTGTGAATGGGGAAAGAGGACAGCAAGGATTTGGTCAACACCTGCTTACTAACTATTCTCAGTGCGTAGCTGAATTTTCCTTATATCTTCCCTCCCTCCAAGGCAAGAAAAGGAAAAAATAAGTCAGTTCTGACTCTCACTCCCCACCCATCACAATGATTACTTGTCTCCTGGCCCATCCCAGCTACCACTTCAGAGGTGGGTGTGCTCCGCATTACATTTTCCACTTGGCTTTTCTTCAATGCATTTCTGTAAGAACAAAAATCTCAGGTTGTCATGAATGGATGTAGGATATTAGTGCAGCTAATGGCATCACTGTGGCAGACGCTGATCGCGCCGGGAGGCTGAATTGGGGCCATGGGGGAGCTTGGAGGGACCATTAGTGCCCTTGGGGCCATGAGAGCTGGCCGCAGAGAGCTCCTCGGAGGCTGGCCGGCTGGACCTGCTGTCGTACCCCTCCCAGCCCAACATGCAACCAGCAGACACAGGAGCGGGGCTGCTCTTTCTGCCAGCAGCACGCTGCGGTATTGGACCAGCCATGCCGTGAAACCGCAGCTGAAGAGATCTTGCTGTGCCGGCGGCCAAGGGTTGGTGTCCATGCTGCTGGGCTGAGGCATGCAGCCGTCGTCAGGGCTGTCTCTGCCAGCTCTGTGCCCTCGCAGACATCCTCATTCTTGGGACCAGCCCTGTGGTGTGGTTGGCTAATAGCGCCGCCATTACATGCTGCAGCTCCAGTCCAGCCGGTCTGTGTAAAACCTCCACGTGAACTTTGGTCTCCCTTCGAGCTGTGTTATAATCTTGCAGAATTGTTTCGTTTGTTTTTTTCTCTGAAGACTTGGGTTTCTTGTGGGATTTTCTGTTTGTTTTTAAGGATGGGTGAAGGCAAACTTATCTAAAAATCACAAGCTGAGCCGGGCTTGGAGGGCACTCCTGTCCATGGCCGCAGCCTTTCTTTGGTGAAGGTAATTCCCCTTCAGCTCCTGTGGCATAAGTACCCACGTAGTCTATTGCGACTCATTGCAGTCAGTACCATGGGTACACAAGATTATACAACAATCAGGTAAAAACATTGTTAATTAAATCAGCTGGTTTACAGTATCACCTTTATAGTAATATAAAAGTTAAATCAGAATCTGACATCTCCCAGACTGCCAGGTAATGAGTACTTGTTTCACAGATGAATAAACTAAGAGGAAGGTGATCCAAGTGATTTGCCCTCTGATGCAGAAGAGGTGCCAGAAATGGAGATTCAAACTAGGTATAGTAATCCTTCTTTCCATAAGGTCTATTTAAATGGAGATCACTAGTTTCTAGTAGAAATCAAGTTGAAATTATCTTGGGTTTGTTTTTAGTCATTCCGTACATTTTGTTTAATACAGCAGCGAAGAATAATTTTGGCAGGGAAGAGGGAAGTGGGCAACTCAGCCTTTGTACTAACTCCTCCAAGTACCAGTGACTGCTGTAAGTTTCCCCTTTTAATGACTACTGCATCAGAAATACAGGCTCTGATTTGAGGAGGAGGCAGTAGAAGAAGGAGGTGGGTCAAGTACATTACCTCTACCACTGGACTTCGGCTAAGAACAAGACCAAGGCTGCAGCATGAATTCTTTCACGTGTGGCTGTGCAAACCTCCCTCCTGCTCTGACACAGTGCAAAGTGCTGCCTCCAACACTGCATTCTCTCGTGCGCACACTAAAGCTACGCAGAGCTTGAGAAAAAGATCTTAAAAGCTTTACTGGGTGCAGTCTGAAGCTAAGTTAATGAGTATTCAGGACTCATAAAAATTGATAAAACAAAACCTAGTATATTATTAGATGAAAGGTACTAAATCTTGCCTTATCCTGTAAAGGTCAGCTTTGGTGAAGAATGGGATATGATCAAGTTTTAGAACTTTTTAGAAAATGAATTACGAGCATAAACAAATAGTAACTTATTGTTTAGGCTGTTCAGAGGAAGCAACATGTCAGTGAGAGAAATTTGACTGTGGGGAAGAACCTCCACCTACAGATAAGAGCCGTGTTAACGTGTAAATGTTTGCAGATCTTTCGTTTTGGTGTAATGGAAATGCGGAGTCTGATTATTCTGAGCTCAAAACAATAGAGGAATTGCACCCAGCTTGATATGCAAGGCCTTTCTGAAAGAGATTATTCATCCTCCTGTCAACTAAGTTTTACTCTAAAACAGGAACAAGAAAGCCTTCTTAGCAAGCTTTATTCTTTGGAAACTGTAGAAGATGAGGACTGCAATGGTAGCTTTTGATTAAGACTCTGTCTTCGTTGTAAAGAATAGGAAGGGAGTGGCAATCCTCTCGAAAGCTGTGTTAATCCACAATGCTAGTGTTTCTATAAAAACTCAGAACAGGATAAAATAGTAGTGCTAACTCTCATCCTAAAGAAAGGAATCCAGCTTTTGTCAGCTAAAGCTTCACAAATATAACTGTCTTTGAAGTACGTTTTAAGTTCTAGAAAAGACTTCATATCTAAGTTGGTAGGCAGAAAACAGTAATTTGAGGGTAACCAGCAGGTCACAAGCTTCATCCTATGGAAATAAATACTCGATAGAGGTTATGGAGACTATCAGATAGCTACTATCCTTCCTTTGTTAATTTAGTATGTGATAGATACTATTTTTATTGGATCAGATCTACTAGTCAAAACTAGTAGGATGTCAAGTAAGCAAGCCTGTGATAAGTTGCACAGCACGTTAAAACTTGCTCCAAATTATGTTGCTGTGTTTGACGCCTCGTTGCAAACTAAAAGTGGTAATTGTGGAATTTCCCTTTCTTAACTTTTTTTAAATTCAAAGTGTGAGACCTGATACTTAAAAGGTACCTCCCTATTCTTTCAGCTGTAATTGCACACTAGTTCACCTGGCTACTTACCTTAAGGGTTAAAATTTTAGTTGTTCGAGTTTATTCACTATATACCTAAAACAGACTTGGAACAAATGTCCACCTTCCTAAATTAGAAATGCAGGATAAGATAATTACGGGTGTAACTCTGTAAACAAAGTACACTTTATAGTAAAGAAGATGTTTATATAATGCTGTTAGGCACAAATAGTTTGTGGCCTCTGCCTGCTGGTGGCTTGAATTACAAAATACTTGGTTATATTACTTCCTTAAAATACTGCTGATCCTTACAGCTGTGCTAGACGTTTGTGCAGTGATCCGCGCCTGCCTCCTGCCTACCACACATCAATTCCCCCAGTCAGTTAGCAATGCTGTGGGCATAGTGGTGGCCCCAATGTGCTACCAAAAAACTCTGTGATGCCAGACCTCAGTTTCTTACATGCAGCTGTTCTGACATTTGGAAGTAGCAGGTTAAATGCCACAGTTTGAGAATTAAATGCTAAAATGGTACTGGAGTAGCTTAAAGAAAAGGGGGGGGAGGGTGCGGGGAGAAAAATCTTATGCTGGACAGCCTACAGCAAAACCCAGAAGTGGACACAGGGCACACTTCCTTGAACAGATTTTCTTACCTTTTTTTTGGGGTAGCAGTTATTCTAAGACCTGTTCAGAAAGTTACTTGAACGGACTTATGTATTTCTCAAATACTTAAACATTTCATTAACCTTTCAACTTACAGGTTAAAATTTTGGAAGACATTCTGTATAAACTGTAGTGGCTTTTGCAGTTAGAGGTTCATTTGAAATTCAAACCTGCACTGAAATATTAGGCATTTAATTTGTGAGTATGAATGGCACTTGAGTGGCAGTATAAGTTGTTTAAATGTATGCTGGTTTTGATCAGTTTACCTGCATGAGGTAGTGCATACAAAAAAAGACACCCAGTTCTGTAATCCAGTTCTAGACTGCAGTTTTCTCAACAGCCACAGCTGTAGCAGCTGCATACATGTACAGTGATCCCTTCACAGAATACTGAAACAGAGAAAAGGTGCTTAAGGGGAAACAGGACTACCAAACAAAAATGACATAGTGCCTGTGAAATAAAGATTAAAAGAAGATTGGCATATTATGAATCTTGTTGCAACTCAGCCTTGCAGCATATTTCCACATAAAAGCAATTGCTGAATCATAAAAAAGTGTGTTTGAACGATGGTAGCACAACACTGCTGTGCTCTTAGGTTTGTGCATTTACAGTGACTTAACACAAATCAGCTTTAGAGTTAGGCCGTAAGTATTGCCTTTTACTTTAAAAAGGCACTTCAGCAATTTAATCACAGTTGTTCTCACAAATCTGAAAGTTGAGGAGCTATTCTATACCAGTTTCTTTCTCCCTTTCTCATCAGCTCTTCCCTGATGGTATTTCTAAGCTCATCTGCGGGATTTTGAAGAGACTGTATCTCACATAAAAATCTTGAAAGGCTTCAGGGACTGCTTTCCCAGTGAGAAGATAAAGCATGACTGGCATTCAGGAAGTGAGTGGTAAGTTAAAATTGTAATGAAATCTGTGTCACTGCTGAAGTGAGTATAGAACATTCTTGTCAAACTCTGAAGCACGAATTAACATCAGATACTTGCTTCTCAGTACCGTATCTGACTTACTGGCTTTAATTTTGTCAGATACAGCTGAATCAGCTCTGTTCTCTTACTGAACTTCGGTTTGTTGTCTTAGTACTATGGAAATAGCCTCTCATGAAATATATGTGCCTCTTCCAACCTTTTCCTAAAAAAACACCCTATTTTTATTAATTAATTTCTAATTTTGAACAGAATACTTCTGGCTGAACTATTCACTTTTTTATTCACTATTCCTTATCCCCTAAATAACATTGTAATTATTAATCAGTAATTTTTTGAAGAATCCTTATATTGTTTTTGAATGACATTCATATTTCACTTTATTTTAGGATTTTTCCTTCTGTCTCTGTGACAAACTCACCAAATTCCTGAGAAACACAAACTGTTTTTCCTGAAGTTGTTGAAGCTGATATGAGCAGAGTGGAGGGCAATTTTTTTCAGCCCTGCAAACCTACCTGGTATTTGAAATGCTGAAGAGGAAGTTACGGTTTTGCCACAACTCGCGATTCAGGCTTTTCTTGGGTCTAACTCTTATTTTAGTAATCATTTCAGTTTTGAAAGTGAACCAGAAACAAGACTTCTTAAATCAGAGACATCTTGAGCTGACAGAAGAAGATCCTATCGGCAATGTTAACTGCACCAAGATTATAGAGGGGGATATGGAAGAAATTCAAAAGGTAAAGCTTGAGACATTGTCAGTGTCATTTAAGAAACGCCCCAGACTAACAACAAGTGATTATATTAACATGACAGCAGATTGTGCCTCCTTCACCAAGACCAGGAAATACATTATGGAACCTCTCAGCAATGAAGAAGCAGAATTTCCAATTGCTTACTCAATAGTGGTTTATCACAAAATTGAGATGCTTGATAGGCTTCTAAGATCAGTCTATGCCCCTCAGAATTTTTACTGCATTCATGTTGACAAAAAGTCTCCAGAATCTTTTTTTGCTGCTGTGAAGGGAATAGTCTCATGTTTTGACAATGTCTTTATTTCCAGCCAGTTAGAGAGTGTTGTATATGCTTCATGGAGCAGGGTGCAGGCAGACATTAACTGCATGAAAGATCTCTACAGAAGAAGTTCCAACTGGAAATACCTAATAAACCTCTGTGGCATGGACTTTCCTATTAAGACCAACCAGGAAATAGTAGAGAAATTAAAAGCACTTAAAGGTGAAAACAGCTTGGAAACAGAAAAAATGCCTGTTTTTAAAGAAGCAAGGTGGAAGAAACACCACGAGATTATTGATGGTAAAATAAAGAACACGGGCATAGACAAACAACTGCCACCTCTCAGTACTCCAATTTTTTCTGGTAGTGCCTATTTTGTAGTTACCAGAAGATTTGTAGAATTCGTATTAGAAAGCCGCAAAATACTGAAGTTCATTGAGTGGGCAAAAGACACTTACAGCCCAGATGAGTACCTGTGGGCAACAATTCAGAGAATCCCTGAAGTCCCAGGTGCAGTTTCTTCTAGTGACAAGTACGATGTTTCTGACATGAATGCACTGGCCAGGTTTGTCAAGTGGCAGTACTTTGAAGGTGATATGTCCAAAGGTGCACCCTACCCACCATGCAGTGGAATTCATGTTCGCTCTGTCTGTGTTTTTGGGGTAGGAGACCTGAACTGGATGCTAAAAAACCACCACTTCTTTGCTAATAAGTTTGACACTGACGTTGACCCTTTTGCAGTAAAATGTTTGGAAGAGTATTTGCGACACAAAGCTTTGTATCTGCAAAAGAACTGAAACACTGCGTGCTCCCGGTATGAAACATAGGTACAAACAGTATACAGCTACATGCTTGAACATGTAACACCGACCGTGGTGATACTGATGGTGGGTATAATGGTTCTCACCATCCTGGTGTGGTGGTGGTGATGCCCTCCCTGCCTTGCCCATGGACAAGGGGGAGAGAAACTCAAGTGGAGATGGGGATGCCTTGTGTTGCACACTGAAGCTTAGAACTTTCGGTACAAAATTGAAGACAGCAATTTTTGGAAGGCCAACTATTTGGAGTATTTATTATCTAAAAGATGTAATTGATGGAATTCCTTTGGCTAAACGATTTGTTTTCAGGCTTGGAAAATGCATGTTGTTCACAGTTCTTCCTCAGCTTTTTCCCCTGAAAGTAATCCTAGCCGGAAGGGAAAGGTGAAGGAGGGAGGAAGCAAAAAAGCAGCTGGACTGCACAGACGTCATACTGAGTGCTGAAAAGATCTCAGGAAAATAACATTAGTATTGATCTGAAAACTAAACAAAAGGGAATATACCAAAGCCAGCTGTTGTCATTTAACTTAAATCTAATTGCTGTAGTTCTGTAGTATGTAATTCTTAATCCTCCTGAAAATTTCATCTTCATCATAGAGTATTAAGGACTTGTGTTTATTTTTTTGTAGCCAAATTTTGCTTTTGTACTCTTAAACCCCCCTGATAATGTGATATAAAGTTTATACACTAGTTTGTAATGACATCTTCTCAGGGAAACTTCAGTTTTGTGCCTGATGAGAGTTAAAGTTGCAATTTTACACTTCTCTACTGTGTCAGGAGTCATGCTTTTGGATCTCAAATTACTCGAGTTTCTCAAAAACTTAAAGGAAGAACTGGAGTAGTGTCTAAATGTCACCGATGGAACTGCTGGTTTCTGCTTTCTGTCAAGCTCAACTTGCATTCCACATTCTTTTAACACTGGGTATGCAAAAATAAAGTTATTTTTCTAAATTATCTTGCCTCTTCCTGGAATTAAAGTCCTTATAAAAGCACCACCAAAAAAATCCCAATGATGAAGACCTAAAATGGTTGCTGTACACAACCAAAGCTGCAGATGAGACAAGTCCTACTGTTCCTCCACATGTTCGTTCATTGATATGTCTATGCTTGTTTAGGTTTAGTTGGTGCAGCTAATTCTTCTTTATATGCTTCTTTTGGTGGAAGGGAAAGGAAGAAATCTGGATCGGTTTTGTTCTGGGTTAGGTCCCTGCTTAATTTAGCTGTTGCAATGTGGCACAGAAGCGTGGTGATGAGAGAACAGGAGACTGAGAGGGAAGATACTGTTTCTTTCCAATTCAATTCAAGTTTGTCATGCATAGTTACTATCAGGTGTCTCATCTTACTCCTGAGATGACAGTGGAATTCATGACAGGCACTAGCAATTGGCAAAATAATCTGAAGTTTTTGTTTCTTGAACTGTTGCTGTGATGGCAGCATGTATTTCTTACAAAGGTAGTTTGTCATGAAGTTTCTCTTGAGGTGTGACCCAATACTTAGATATTAACATAACGAACACTTACTGTTGATCATGCAAAAAACTAGGGAGGTAAGCAATTTAATCTGAAATCGAGCCTATTCTTGCCAATCACCGCCTTCAAAACCACCTGAAAGCTGTTTAGGGAGTCTTCAGAGGCTCTCACATGATGCATAAGCAGGTCATTAAAGCCTGTGAGCTGATGCAGTGGAGGAAAATACCCTGTCTTCCCCACCCTTTGGCTTTTCTACAAGAAGGCTCTCATAGACAGTTGTGCTTTACCACCTTTACACAAGCTACATCAAGGTGTATCTTCACTGCACACAGTACTGGGAAATTCCAGGAAATTGTGTTATATTTTTAGCAGAAAAGAAACTGTTGGGTTTTAAGAATTTCCACCAATTCAAGATACATGAGTAGCTTCCATGAGACCAGAACTACTAGTTCAAATAGACTGAAAAAGTGATAATGAAGTTCTCTGCACAGAATGGACTGCCGACTCATTTGCTTGAAATCTGCTAAGCAGCTGGAGCATCAACCCGTTTACCTACGTATTCTGGCCTGCTTTGTGCTTACTCATGTGTGTAATACAGGGAATGGCTGGCTGTATGCCTGTTGTTAATGATACTGCTACTTAAGATAGACAGTGAAGATAGTACTTGACTAGGTGCTGCAAGTGTTAACGTCTTGGCTGAGTCAAGAGAGATCCTTTGTACACTCACTGTACGTTCTGTTCTGCACAGAAGGAAAAAATAGGGGAACATTGCTGTTTAGTGTACATTCTCCATAAGATAAAGAGGAATTTCTTCTTCTGGGGAAAGTGAATCACAAAAAAAAACTGTCTCCCTAAAACTAACTTGTAGAAGACACACCCTGATCTAGTAGATTTAAATGGTCTAGAAAGGCAATTTCATGAAAACAACTCTGAATCTGTTGAACAAGTGCCAAATGTGCCAAATGAAATTAATAGAGTAATTAAAAGTATTGCAAATACGCATACAGAAGACACACCATACCCAACTGTAATGGCAGAGAAACCAATCTAACTTAGTATTTCACTGAATCTGCCATGAAACTTAGCCAAAATAATCATCATCCTAGAATCAAATAACTTTGGGGCACCAACAAAACTCAAATAAAATCTAGATTATATCCCTTACTGACATCAGCAGGTTTTTTTTCATAACTTGTGTCAGTTTTCTACTAGATATTCAGAGGACTGGAGTAAAAGTCTTGTACTAGCTTGAGTGAACATGGAAGAAAAATGCTTCACTGATTCTGCAGCAACAAAATAATCTTGATGCTGTGCTGAAGATGCTGGGCTCATGTTAGGAATAGCTAAAAACTTAGTGATTACATCAACTCTTCAACTATTAATTCTGAGTACAGTGGTGCTGTAATACAAGAAAACTGCTGGTTTATTCTGGCAACACACAGACCTGCACCAGGATTGAACTTGGAAGCTGGACAGAGGATAGAGCATTGAAAATCAAAGCCGTGGTGGTGGGTTCAGCTACGGTGCTGCCCCGGACACTGAGTACCTTCTTTGTCCAGTCCCTGCTGCATGCACCCAGCTTACACCAGCCCTCGCACTGTGGCCTTATCATCCTTTGGGCAGCTAGGAAGGAAATTGGGTTACATTCTGCCTGCCGAATAACATTTTTTTTTTCTGACCCCATGTTTTAAAGTCTCATAATCTGGAGGTCGTGAGTGCTGAGGGAACTGGCGGAGGAGCTGGCCAAGCCACTCTCCATTATCTATCAGCAGTCCCGGCTAACAGGAGAGGTCCCAG